TTAGAAATATCGATGAGAGAGAAACATCGATCAGCTGCCTCCTGCACACCTCCCACTAGGGATGTGCCCACAAGCAAGGTACATGCCCTTGACCGGAATCGAACCCGGGGCTTTTCAGTCCGCAGGCCGAGACTCTAGCCACTGAACCAAACCACTTAGGGCTCTTTCTCTCCCTCTTTCTTCCTCTCTGTAATCAGTAAAAATATTTAAAAATATTGAATCAACTTTCATCGATCAGCTGCCTCCTGCACACTCCCTACTGGGGATGTGCCCTAAACCAAGGTACATGCCCTTGACCGGAATCGAACCTGGGACCCTTCAGTCCGCAGGCCAAAGCTCTATCCACTGTGCCAAACAGGTTAGAGCTCTTTTTGTCTTTCAATTCAAGGCTGAGCTACCAATAGCAGTCATTTGGACCATAGGTAAGGATTATACAATGACTCAAAGGCACCTGTTTTAACAGACATCAGTGTTTCAATGTCATATGAGGTGGGTCCCATGGCTCGCTCGGTTACTTATAATCACAAATGTGAACCAGGATCATCATAGGCACTTGCACACAAGATAAAGTAAATTTCACCCCATCAAAACTTAGTTTGTAAATAATCATGTAATTACCCAAAAAAAACATTTTGTCTCACATTCTTCTTGCTGCTGCTGAGCTACTTTAATTTCATTAGGGAATATTCTAAAACAATTACTAGTGCTGTTTGGGAACTTCAAACCAAAGGTCCAGTATGTACCATAATATACAATCAGTATTTTAACATTCTTATGTTTAAACTGGGGATTTCTTTTCCAACACAATAAATGCCAAGTTATAGCAAGAAAGGTTATTTTTTTAAAGTACAGGCTGTAATCATAGATTGACCTTCCTAATGATTTTGGTATTATAACCAAATACAACTTAAAATCACAGTAGTCTATTAAACTTTAGGAAGTCACTCAAATTGACATGACCAAATCTTATATTAGCTTTCTTCCAATATAAACATATGGCTTATTAATGAATACTTATGAAAATGGAGGGAAAATGCTGGCCTGGATTAATCAAACCCTTTATAATCAACTGAATTGTCAAGTGCATGCATGTATTAATTTCCACTGCAAGTGCTCATTAAGCCTTTCCATTTAAATGCTTGACTAAACTACTTTAGCACCAAGGGGATAAGGGAAAACATCAATTATTCCAACACAGAGAAACATGGGGTGGCACTACACAAAAATATATGTCCAATTAAATTTAATATGTAAATCAGTCTTAGAAAGTATCTTATCTGCCCAACCTGTGGGTCAGTCCTCAGAACAGTGGGAAAGGAGAGACTGAGAGACTGTCTAGAGTGCTGGTCCAGCCAAGTTAACTGCTGAAATTGAATAACACACTTTATAACCAACCATTATCCATAAACTACACAAGGAAACATTTGAGATGGTTTTTATTAAATATACAAAAGCAAAATAAATCAAGCTCTAGGAAGGTAGGACTACTTAATGGCATTTTCTTTGGATGGTGGTACAGCACCTTTAAGGTTAACTTAGATTTCAACAAACCTGGAGCACAAATAGCTAACTACATTCTGTTTCTCTTAGCAGTTTTAGGGTCTACCCAGTCATCAATCTATTATTTAAGAACTTTTCTTCCCCAGAATACAGAAACATGGTAACCAAAGAAATGCAATGTTTAGAAAAGCACTGAACAATAAAATTATTCTTTTCCATGTCAAGATATTCACTACATCTTCACTTCCACAATGTGCATTAACAAAATCCATAGACTGATCACCTTATATTGTTAATACTGTTTTCCAAAACCAAACAGAACCAACAGCAAAGCTGTTTACCCCTTTTAAACATTTAGCTTTAGCTTTAGTGAAATTGTTCTACAAAAGCTACTCAACATATCCAGAAATAGAACCACATTTTGCTCTTGACGTCACCCTGGAGTATTAGTTCAGAACCAACTTCTGAGCTATATATTAGTCCCAGAGACTCATTAGCTGCTGGTCTGACTACAGATCAATGATTGGTTTGAGCAAAAAAAATTATTTGAGATTAACATTATTAGTTTCCAAAAAGAGTGACTATGAGTACTTTCATGAACATTACTAGACACAGTGTCAATATTTTTGTCTTTCCCCTTTGAAAAGAATGTTTTAAAATATTTTTGCTATCAGAATTTCTGATTTACAATTATTCTATACAACTGATTGGGAGATGCACATTTGTGGGTATTACATTATATAAACAAGTAAACTTAGATGTGTACTTTTAAAATACAGATCAGTACTTGAATGGGCTCCATGTATCACAATGCTATGCTGTAGCCACACCTAAGATGAAAGCCCAGCCCCCTGCTGGGTATAACAGATGCAACAGAAGTCATTATTTGCGCCATGGCAATGCCATTCCATGAACACTGATCATAAACATACAACCTGAGGAAAAGAGAAGTGTTGTACCAAAGAAAATATTTTGCTAGCTTCAAAGTATATCTACAGCTCTATTTCCTTTCTATACAAATATCTGACATTTAAAAAAAAAAAAAGCTGATTTGAGGAGCAGAGAAGAGCTCTTATGAGAGCTGTTAGCATGAGCGGTCCTCAAGATGAAAAATACTGAACCACCTTTAAGAGACAGACACACTTTATGAGAGACTATTATCAGGGTATCTGAACCTGATGGTAGGTCTGACAGTTCATGGTTTAATCCATGGTGTTTTTCAAATGCTTAAGTAATACCTGGTACATGTCAAAAGTGGACGTCTGATCATTTCCTATCACACCCCCTTCTCATGGAAAATAATTTAAATTTCAAACAAATAAGCAGTTTGTATATAGCCTAGGAGCCAACTCTCCTCTACTCTGGGATAGGGGTGGGGAAATCAGTTGAGCACTATGAAAATCAAGAACCACCACTAATAAAATTCAGATATTGGCATTCAAATAAGTTTCTACCCATGATATAGTACAATGACTCAAGAGAATAGCTCCTAAATAGACTACATTTGTTATATAAGAGTTCTAACTCAGGAGAATTTATAGTACCCATAGCAACAAAGAGCTGTTAGTGTAAACATAAGTCACAATGTGTTACAGTAATGGTTTCTGAGTTGGAAACCTCTTAAAGATAAAGCACTTAATATCAAAAGTAATATTGATATTAAGGAGGGATATAAGGAAGGAAAGAGTACTTAAACAGCTGTCTGCAGAGGAATTATTGGAAGGATTATAACCCGGGCTAACTATGCCTCAACTGGACCTGCAAGAATAATATAAGTAAGGCTAAAGGGGCCCTGGCCCGTGTTGATCAGTGGTTAGAGCATCAGCCTGCACACTGAAGGGTCTCGGGTTCAATTACCAGTCAAGGGTACATGTGGGAGGCAACCAATCGATGTTTCTCTCACAATGCTTTTTCTCTTTTTTCCTCCTCTCCTCTCCCTCCCTCCCACTCTCTCTAAAAATCAATGGAAAAAATATCCAAAACAAAACAAACAGATTAATAGGTGGGGGTAGATGGGGCACAAATTAAATTCAGAGCAAGGAAAGAGTTAATGGGATATTGTCAAATGTAATTTTGTTTCCACTTTCTCCTGTAAGGGATTAAATTGCATAAAACACTAGAAAAGGTAAAGATGAGTAGATATTGAGAGACCACCCAAGTACTCAATGTTCTAATCACTTACGTGCCTAGGAACCAACAACCTACCACCAAGATGGGTGACCTTCACGGTCAATCATCTTTGAGGAATCAGCTAAGGACTACATATCTGGTTTTTAAAGCATGAGAAGGTGGCTTCCACAAATTGCAACCAGTAAACCCTGCATTAATCCTGAATATTCCAGAATACGTTATTAAAAGGATATTCTGTTAAAACTTATAAAGGTTTTGAAAATACTTGGACAGGATTATTTATGAAAGCCCCAGGAAACCTATCTGGTGGATAGACTTGGCTGGGTCTCTCATGATGTGACTCTTCTCATTCTCCTGTTTCTACATCCTCTTCTTCAACATTATTCTCCTCCATTACCCAATCCCAAACAGTGACAGCTACTCTCCCAAAAGTGAGGAAGCATTTTTCTTAGATTTCTACAAAGATATCCATAAACACCCTTGATTATTATATGCAATTTCTATATATTGGTTTTCATTGTTTAAGAAACTCATCCACTTACACTATTTTCAATTGCCTTAACTTCCTCATCCCAAATGCAGCACAAAAATGCTTATGAAAACATGCAAGCCATAATTTAACTGCCTAAGCAAAAATTAAGTCATTTTATCTTAAAACCTGCTGTTTCAAAAAGGCAAAAAAAAATTTAGAACTTATAAGTGCTACAATTTTTTTAAGTTGGTAAGAAAAATGACATTGCTGTGCCATCAATGGCTATGAATCGTGACAAATGACAACAGAAGATAATGTGCTTAATCACTTAAAAATCTTCGTTTTTAGATCCAGACGTGGTATTAAACAAAAAAAAAAACAATGTAATACTCTATTTTTTTTAAAAAACTGACAATAATATGTCTTTATTGTGGGTTAAGCAAGTTTAGGAAATTGCTATTTGTAATCTTTAAAACAATGCACTGAAAGTCTTAATTTCAGAATTTTATTGTATTGCACTAAAGGAACAGCAGGGCAGTTATACAATGTTCTCTTTCATACCGTTTTATAAATCTGAAGTGCTTGCAAACTCTTAAGACTACCTTTACCACCAGATTAGGACAGTACGTATAATAACCAATTTCTTAATAATAATGTCTTACAAATTCAAACACATTTAAAATAGCTTTAATGCATTCTTCAAAGCTTCCAATGGACTAAGGACAATAATTAATGCAATCATTCAAGGGATCATGGCTGTTCCTTAAGGAGTGCAAGTTCCAACCTGTCAACACCAGAGGTAATCACTTTACATTAATTTATACGTAATTCATTTAAATTCTTTATCCGAGTATAACATATTAAAACAGTCTTTCCACAAGCAAAAAATGTGGAAACATTTAAAAAATAAGGAGTCATTTTTAATGTAACTGGTCAGATTCCATAGGCTACTCCTGGAAACAGGGTCTTGCTGGATAGAATCCCTTCGTTGGGTGGCTTTTTGCATGCATTTAACTGGACCACTTCTTCTGTGTGTTGTTCTAAGAGCTCACCAAGACATAGATCATGCTGAAAAGAAGGAAAAGGCTGTTAATTCAAACATTCCTCATTATAAAGACTAAGCGCGCCAAAAAGTTGAGTCTATTCTATATAGCAAGCAAATCTGTGGTATTACACCATCACAGAACATAAAAGACACTAAGTTCAAACATGATTTTAACTGGCAATTATGGACTTTTGCCTACGGTAGGACTTAGCTTGGTGCATGTACTATAGTTGTTCCCTGTTCCTTTCCCATTTTAGCAAGTAGAACAGCACAGCTAAAGCTTAATGGGGGATCTGAGCTTAGAGAAATCTAAAATACCACACTTGGGAGTTGAGTCTATTAATAGAAGTGGAGTCTCCAAGGGGTCACTTCCTGCCAGGCCCTGTTAGATCTTCATACATGACCTCTTTGAATGCTCCAAGCACTCCTAAGAGGTGAGTACTACTATTAACCCCATTTTACAGATAGGAATCGTCAGTTAAGGAACTTTCCCATTAGAGAAAGGCTCTAGGCAACAGCAACAGGGATTTAAGGAAAAAAAAAAAAGGAAAGAAAAAAGGACAAACAAGCAAAATGAAAAGCAATATCCATTTGATTTAGGCTTAAAGACTGCCAGACAATTCTACATGCTATGTAGGCATAGCATGCTTCAGAACCATGTATCTCTAAATGAAAATGCAAACCAAGGAGGTGTGCAAACTCAATTTAAAACGGAAATGAATGTCCTAGTACCACCACCTCCTGGTGAACATTTTCCCACACTATACATCTCCAGTGATTGATCCAATCATTCATTTCTTTCAATAAAGTTTTAATTGTCTACTATCCGCTAGCACTGTCCCAGACATTTGTTAGAGAAACTTAAAAATAAAAACAAGAAATTGGGATGACACACAGAACTTCACTTTTCAAAACTGATTCACTTTCTTTGTTTCACATGCAAGTGACATCTGTTGATAACCGTAAAAGAGGTATTTTCACAATCATAACCTCTAAAGGCATATTCCAGTCAAGCCTTTCATGCGTCCTTTTCTACAATGAAATTTATATGCTATAAAGAGAACTATGAATATAAACTTGCAATATAATACTTAGCAAGTTTTCAAGTAACAAAGAGGAGAGGAAATGGAAGCTAGTTTTAACAATTACATCTCATACAGCTAATTTCCCCCCAGATTTTGAAAATCAGATGGAAAGCCCTCTCTAGCTGAATATAAATCAGTAAAAGATGAGAAAAGTTTATTTATACCACTTACAGAGAAGTTATACTTCCACACCTGACAATGTCCTTTCCTAGTTTTAATAAGTAGCCATTTTATTTCCCCTACAGTACACTCAGAGCAGTGCTTCTCAGGCAGGGCCAATTTTGCACCATAGGAGACAACTGGGGGAGGGGATGCTACTGGCTAGTGGACACAGATGCTGCTAAGTGTCCTACAATGCACACAACCAAGATTTACCCAGCCTAAAATGTCAACAGTGCCAAGATTGAGAACCCCTAGTATAAAGGAATGAATCAGTCTATCATGGTAGAAAGGGAGAAAAATTGATAATTACACCATCCTATAACATAGAACTGTTTCTTTCATTCATCAAATTCAGATCAAGTAAACTATAAGATAAAGGTCACAGCATATACAATTTATGAAGCATGATAGAAAAAAAATTAAACACAATCTCGAGACTGATTTTTCTTTTTTTTTTTGCAAACTCACCAAGCCATATCCTCCCAACGCCACCACCTTACCACCTTACCATGAAGAATGAGGATGGTCCTTCAATAACGAAATGAACCTGAAAACTTAGGAAGTAGCATGCCTGGCCAAACTATCTGCTTCTGACAGCACACCAGTTGGCTGCCTTGACAAGTACCAGTATATTCAAATTCCATGTGAACTGGCGGGTGTGCACTGTCATTACTAGTTACCAACATTCAAGACACTGAGCTATCCTTCAAGTGGATTCTAAGGTGTTAAGATCATAATGCCTGCAAACTTTTTAGACAGCAAATTGAAATATCACATTTTGTTTTTTAAACTCACCCGTATAAGTAGTAAAAAAAGGCTAGAAGATAAAAAGCTAATTTGCACCATCCTTCTTTCTGACAATATGCTAGAATATCAGCATTCATGATGGTTGTAGGGTCATAGAGTCCTGGTCCACTCATCACTGGTCTACTCATATACCTGTAATAAACACAGTCTATCAGCCACGCAGAAAGGGAGCAACCCTTCAGGAGGGGAAGGAGGGTTTTTCCCTCATGTTTGGTCACATAGGAAAGGATACTTTTAGAGATGGAGTTCTTTCCTTTCATCATCTTAATTTTAAAACTACAGCCCCTAAATGAGCAGAACAGGACAGCTAAAGAAGTCACATCTGGTCTCCTCTACACTTTATCACAAATCCAAGAAAAACAGGAATAACTATAAAAAGGATATAAGATTTAACGTTTTATTTTAACATAATTTTACTTACAGAAAAGGTACAAGAACACTTCACCCAGACATTCCAAATGTTTACAACTTACTGTATTTGCTTTATCCTTCTCTCTCTCATTTTATCTCTAAATATGCATACTTTTTTTTAACCATTTCAGAGTCAGCTATAGATGTGATACCATTTTACTCTTAAACACTTCTTCAGTATGTATTTCCTAAAATCAAGGGCAATGTCATTTTTACATCTAAGACAAAAAACTTTTAATTCTACATAGATCAGGTAGAACTTTTAAAAGTTATGAAATATGAGTATCTTTTATAAATAACCACATTAAAGTCATAAAACATAGAGAAAGAAGTTAGATACACACTGTACACTTGGATTTATATGAAGTTCAAAGGGCAAAATTAAGGTTTTAGAAGTCAGTAGTTCTCTTTGGGAAGTACAGGGGTAACAGGCTGGGCTGGGGCTGGAACTGGTGTATGTCTCGATCTGGTGGTGGTTTCGCGGGTGTATACATATGTATAAATTCATTGAGCTGTATGCTTCAGATTTTGCACAGTATTGTATGTAAGTTATGCCTCATTAAAAAACACCTTTAAAGAGTAATAAAGCAAACTCTCCAGAGTCTAAGAGGTGTGGTAAATCAGTTATTTGCTCATCCACTTGATTTTTAAAATAAAGGCCAACTAATTTCCAGTTTTTATTTAGGTAACTAGCAAGTAAGACTAGAATATGATTTAATTAGGACAAGTATTAGAAGTATATCTAAATTACCTCCAAATATGATATGCCAAGAGGGGCATATTGAGGCCCAGCGTAAGCCATTCTGCTGCACAAAGAAACATGACACAGAAGAAAGCATGGATGAGGTACTCTGGAAGTACAAGCTGGAAGAAAAACACAAGCCAGTCATCAAAATGCCTGGGCATTCAATCAACTGTTAACTTGGAAAGCAGGTGGCAACCAAGTTTCCATAATGAAAAATTACTGTTTTCTTAGACTCAAAGATGAAACTACTGAATTTCATTCCCACATTTAATTTTTAACCAAAGCAGGATTATAAGCAAACGGATAAGAGGATATAGCTTGCACTAAAAGAATAAGATAAAACCTAAAGTTTAAAACTCAAATTCTTAAAGCAATAGGTTATATTATACAAAGTTACCACCCAGATTGTTTAGTTATTTGCTAATCAACTGGAATACTTTTTCTTTCCACCATTCAATAATGATAAAATTACAAAAATGAGATATCTGATCACATGCAACATGATATAAAAAAAATCCACAAAAACAAAACTCCCCTTTAGAAGTTTAAACATTAGTGTTTTTAAGCCTTTAACAGAAACCCAGAATGCTACATATACTGTATTTAACAAACCACATCACATTACCACCAAGTAATTTTTCAATGGAAAGCCAACAGCCAATAATCTCAGCACAGTCAGGGAGGAAAGAATACTAATATGCACAAATACAAACGATGTGCTTTCTGCAATGTAGGAGGGAAAAGACTGGGCTCTGACCCAAGAAATTGGAATTTACCCCAGTTCCTGTGCTTCCATTCTTACCCGGCCTTCCTGTTTCTTTAAGCCTGCTTTCCAATGAAAGGCTACAGACAGGGCAGACCAGTAGAAGCTCAGAACTCAAGAACAAACTAAATCTTTTGGTAGTAGGTAGTATTAAGTGAGGAAAATCAATTCAAGCAAAATGCTTTTTATAAAATGACCAGGAGTTAATGCTTTGTTTTAAATTATCTTTCTCATCCTAAAGATTTCAGCCTAATGACTTTATAAATAAAAATACCAACACGGTCCGGCCGGCTAGCTCAGTGGTTGAGCGTCGACCTATGAACCAGGAGGTCACGGTTCGATTCCCAGTCAGGGAACATGCTGGGGTTACAGGCTGGATCCCCAGTGTGGGGCATGCAGGAGGCAGCCAATCAGTGATTCTCTGTCATCAATGATGTTTCTCTCTCTCCCTTTCCCTGCCTCTCTGAAATCAATAAAGACGTGTTTTTTAAAAAATAACAACACCTGTCACTGCAAGTTGCAGCCAAAGAACTTCCTACAAGTTATAGCTGCAAAGCAGTTTCTCAAATGTTTGCATCATACCAAATTAAAATTATATGAATCCTCAACATTATCAGATCTTTCCTAAGGGGAAACCATAGCTGTAGAAATAATAGTTATACTCTACATTCAAGCTGATTTTCTAATACTTCCAAATTACCTTTTCCAATTTAAAGTTATAGAGAAGTTTTTAATGAATTACTATTTTAAATGAAATCCCAATAAAACTAATTTTCCACACCACCCACCAGGTATTTTCTACAAACTTAAGTATATAAACTTGTAAATAGCATGAACCTTAAACTAGCATTTATTTAACATCAAAGTTAAACATCTACAATCTCTAAAGAAAATGTCCATAGGAAATCTTTAAAACTCTAACTACAACCAGGACAAACCAAGAAAAAAAGACATTTTACTAGGAGTTCCACTACAGCTGCTGTTTACAATCCTAGTTTAAATTATGGGATTTTTCTTTTAAATAAAGAAAATTAAAATTGGCCCTCTAAATGCCCATTAATATCTAACAATATGAATTCTCACCCAAGTTTTTGCCCTACACTTTACAGGCTGAGGTATGGGGAGAGAATGATTTTGAAAGTATGATCCCTACTGATCTTAAACAATATACTTTAGTGACAGTGAAAATAATTTGCAATTCTACCAGTTCTAATATGAAACAAATGCCACACTCCTCCTAAAAAAAAAAAAGTCCAGAAACTTTTATTATGCACCTATCATAAAAACCAGTCCTCTCTGATTGTTCTTTAATGACAAAACTTTCCCATAAGTGGCACAAAAGTTATTCCACTTAGGAAACAACATTTACACAAAAACTTCCAGAAAAAAATACCTCATGCACTATGGCGGAAATGATAGCACTTTAACATACAAATCAATACATTCTCTAGTTAAGGCTCACATTTTTAAAAATAATGATATTTGTCTTCCCTCATACTTTGGCAGAATTGTCAAAACAAAATTTTAATAGGGAAAACTGTCAGATGCACTGCTATTAAGCCAATTATCGGCACCCTATCCGAAATACAACCTGTGCTTGTATAAAAACTTCCTCCCAACATATGGCAGCATTAGGATATCTCAAACCCATCTTCTCTAAATGAGAATTTCTTTCCATTAAGAAAAGCCAGAAATCACATGTTAAAATGAAATTAGTCCCTCTTAAATTTATAGTAAAGTAGGAAAATACAAGAGCTTGAGCTTAACAATCAGGTTGTCGGGCTCAAATTCTGGTTATAACTTAGCTGTGTAACCTTGAGCTAGGCGCTTTAATCTCGCTAAGCCTCAGTTTACTCTCCTATTCATGAAAATAAACTGTCATGAGAACTGGGTGACAAAACCCAAGATAAGATGCTCAGCTCAGAGCCTGGGACCCAGGAAAGCACTCATCTGATTTCAGCTATTATTATTCTCATCATGATTTGCTTTTTTGAAGTAGTGAAAAGACAAAGACAGAACACTAATAGTAAACAACTGTCAAAAGGAGAAACTTCAGTTTCTAAATTTCTTGTAATAGTGTGTTAAGATGTTTTCCAATGAACATTATTACTTTCCAATGAGAAGGCAGTCATCTTATATTTTGTTTCATAAGAACAGAGAAACAATTAGTAAGTTAATACTTTTAAATGTATATACTCGGCATACTGTAACAGTTCTTTAAAGCCAAACTAGAAATCTATTCCATCATTCATATGTATCTAAGAAACAATAATAAAGTAGCAAACTAACTTTACAGACTAGCAACTTCAACCTTTTTCAACTTGTGGCACACATAAACTAATTACTAAAATTCTGTGGCACACTAAAAACGATATATTTTGCCTATCTGAAAAAAAAATAGCTATCATTTTGATTCATTCACACCGATGGCTACTGTTTTAGCTGTTGTCATTTTTTATTTGGCAATCTAAGGGAGAAGAGGTCAGTGCCCCTGACTAAATAGTCATGTATCGCATGTTTTAAAAACTCTTGCTACACAGGTTGAAAATCGCTATTATAGATCTTTTTCCAAATAAAATCCCTCCAGCAAGCTAATGAACTACAGTTTTATACAACTGAAGTCTACACAAGCTCTCATCTTCATGAAGTAATTTTTAAAGCTGAATTATAGTATACTATATCTTAAAGTACCCACTGCTTTCTTACAAACCACCTTCCAGTTTCTGACCTGCTAGGTAAAATCAAACCTACAGGCTGAAGGGGAATCTTTCTAAATGAGGTAAGTAAATGAAGTAAAAACATAGAACCCCCAAGCACAATGGAGTTACATTATAATTAAACCCATCAGAACCTACTATAAGACAGGTCTGTTTTAGAAATTTAGAGTGGATATGTATTAGAAATAACTATGTAGATAATTGTATACAAATTATCCACAAAATTCTGGCAGCATGAGTCCAGAGGTCAGCATTACTGCAAGATTCCAGAGCCAAAAACAGAGCTATCTACCTAAAATGCTCTGAATAAACATCAGCTGAAACAGAATTAATTCCAGAGCAGACATAACTAAAGATTAAACTAGATAGGGTACTAAAGACTTCCTCACAGTAACCACAGGTAAATAATCTTACCATCTATTTAAGTCATTTTATGTTAACCAACTGTCAAACATTGCACCAAATAATTCAACATAGAAGTGCCTATAGCAATAATATTTTTTAAAAAATGCATAAGCATTTAACAGCTATCCCTACTTGACAGGGCCAGCAAGCATTTGCATAAAATATGATATATCATGAAAGCATAAACCTCAACAAGCATATGAATGAGCACACTGAACAGAACATTTTACAAATACAAATGCCCTAACCCTCCCCATGAAATGAATGTAGCAGGAAAACATTAAACTAAAAAGCAGTACACACCTTTAATGCAATTTTGACTCTTTTAATCTTTTTGACCTTTTCAACTGTCTTTGGCCGACAATGTAAAAAGCAGATTGGAAGAATGTTAGTATGACAGCTGACAAGATCACCAGCAGATTAATAATAGTCAGAACAGTCAAGCAGGACAGAAAAAAAGAATATTTTTTTAAAGTCTGTTTCAAAAAGTACAAATATACCATGCTACTGAGAATATTGGCCATTTTCAAATTATAACAAGTTAACAGCAAAAATGGTTTTAAAATCTAAAGAAAACTCCGATATTATAACTTACAGGATTCAGAGTATTACACTGGTCTATAGGATTCTTGTAATCGGTCTTCAGCTCATCAAATGCTATAATCTAAAATAGAATTACAACAGTTAGGACCTCTTGCTTTAATAAAAACATGCAACAAACCTGCCCCATCATCAAATAATAACTGAATAAAGTTAATAAAAAAGCAAACATTGCATGTACACCGATTTACAGTAAACTCAATATCTACTAATAAGTAACTAGAATCAGACTTACAGAACTGAAAACACTTTTATATTATTATCACTAACACGATCTATTACTGTGATAAATACCTTCAATATTCAATTGTTTTCTATGCCTCTTTCAAGTTATTTTGACTTGAAATTATCTTCGCCCCACCCACAACTATTCATCAAAACTCTTTATCCTAAACAACCTTCTTCCTATGTCAACTCATCCCTTAGGCAGATATAATTGCCTACTGTCTAATCTCTACATAGCACAGAGCTTTATAATGCTGCCAATGTGGCATTCCTCGCACTTTTACGTACAGATTGGGTCTCCCACCAGACTGTGCCCATCGGGGTGAAGTGTTTTTAATCATCTGTGCATGCCCCTCCCTCGTCACAGTGTTCAGTGGGACACTAGAGATGGACTCTTGTGCTTCAGTTTGTTCCCGTTTGTGCCCAAACACATACATTTCAAAGTCCTGCTTCCATCTGGAAATGCAAAAAATGGTCTCAGAGTAGAGAAACACTGGGGATTATTCAACTTCATGGGCAGGACCACCACATACAGGAGCGCCGTTTCTGCACAGGACAAGGGCTCCTAGCCAGCCCATGCTCCTGCTGCCAAGCACCCTGGCAGGGGCTCTACACTAGACTGCACCCAGAGGCTGTGTCTGTTCAGGAGGAAGGATTCTTTTGCCCCAAGAGGTATCTTGTTCCAATTCACCTGAAGGCACTATACAGGCAAGAGCAGAGCCCTGTTCAAGGCCACTATAAAAGTGATCAATCTGACCTCCTTTCATGACCTCATGCAGGTCATTTTATCTGGCCACCAATCTAAAGACTGTATAAGGGTAAGGCCAGGTCAGGCCAGTTTTTCACAGTGTGATGAGTGCAACACTTATAAATGTGAGAAGGGGAGAGAGATGGCGTCCACTTAAAATGCATGGCAAAAATGCTGTTGTCCAGACTCTAGAGAATTGTGGCTTTAACATGTAGGGTCACTAAACACAGAACTTCAAAGTCAAAATGTACTAAAAAATCAAACTGGGGCAATGTACCACTTTGTGATGCTAAGATAGGTGTCAAAATAAGAAGGCAAATGCACCAAGTTTATGGGGGAGATATCTTAGTTGCTGCCACTAGTTACCTGGGAAACAGAACTTAATCCGCCCTTCGGTGGGTTACAAATAGCATCTTTATATATGTGACAGTGTTACTCATTATTACCAGTAACCAATGGAGTCATATATTTCTAGATTTTAATATGCTGGTTTATTTCCCTATTAAGGTTTTTAGCTTCATAAAAATGTGTTTTTTTTAATTTCTAGGATGTTATAAAACTCACCAACCTAATAAAAATTCTAACTAAAATAGGAATAGAAGGAAAATAATTACATGTAAACTCCATAAAAGCAAAGCTTTTTTCTGCTATGCCCTAGGGTCTAAAGAGTGCCTGGAACATACGTAAGTGATCAATCAATATTTATTGAATGTCAGAAGGGAAAAAAGAAAAATAGCCCTAAGCTAAAAAAAAGTACAGGACTCAGCAAAAGGCATTTTCCTCTGCTAATAATCCCTAACACATATAAATGTTAAAAACATAAATATACAATTAGAAGATACTAACTTCTCATCATCTATGGGCATTAGTCACTCACCTGTTATTAGCTCTGTCATCTCCCCAATGCATTTTAGTAATAATAAAGTTCAAGACAAGAACCAGGATCACAAATACAATTACTTGCCTAAAACAAGATCAATTTAACAGCATAGTACAAAACATATGTCTTAAAACTGACCTTTTTTTTAATTGAACACTTCCTTCAGGTGATTTTAAGGGATTTTTTAATAAGTATGATGCTAAATGGGTTTCTATTTAAGTGCTATAAGCTAGTTTCCAAAACTCTTCTGAAAAGATTCTTAAACTAAGAATCTTTTGTGATTTCAAATCTTTTGTGATTGTATGTCTGGACAAAGATGTTCACAAAATTTCCCACAGAAGTGCAAACACAATAAAGACAGATAAATCCCTAAAAATACCAAACTAGCCGAAACCGGTTTGGCTCAGTGGATAGAGCGTCAACCTGTGGACTGAAAGGTCCCAGGTTCGATTCCGGTCAAGGGCATGTACCTGGGTTGTGGGCACATCCCCAGTAGGAGATGTGCAGGAGGCAGCTGATCGATGTTTCTCTCTCATCGATGTTTCTAACTCTCTATCTCTCTCCCTTCCTCTTTGTAAAAAATCAATAAAATATATTAAAAAAAAATACCAAACTACCCAATTCAGGATACCTTCGAATCTGATGTACATCTTTAGGGAATGACTTCTGCATTTTTAGCTTTCAAACAAATCTGTGCTCCCAACTCTATTCCCCACAGAGCATTAATCACATGAATTAGGACTGAACTGACAGAAGTGACCATCAGCATAAAAACATCTACCAACCCCAGCCAGTTTGGCTCAGTGGATACAGAGTCAGCCTGCAGACTGAAGGGACCTGGGTTCCATTCCTGCCAAGGGCACAGGCCCCATTTCCGGCTCAATCCCCAGCAGGGGGTGTGCAGGAGGCAGCCGATCAATGATTCTCTCTCATCTTTGGGGTTTCTATCTCTCTCTCCCTCTCTGAAATCAGTAAAAATATTTTTTACATCTACCATATGATTAATGTAAACAGGATTTTGTGAATTTATACTTGAAACTCCCACATGAGTCTTCTGAAAGATATTTAAACTACCTAAGAAAATAAGCTGAAGGTTCTGGAGTAGATAGGAAATTAAAACTATCTATCTATCTATCTTATCTATCTATGTATCTATCTATCTATTTAGAATTCTCAATCTGTTCCCATGGGATGTAAAATCCTCTGAACTACCAAGAAATCCCTAAGGATAAAAGCTTTCCACTAATATGTGGAATACAAACAAATTTTTTAAATTTCTAAAACAGGACTTAAAATTATATCTACTTCATCCGGACAGATTCATTTCAAAGCTAAAACTAAATTACCCATTTTTTAAAGAAGCAGTTCAGGTTTTCTGTAAGCCAAACCCAACCTGTAAAAAAGTGTAAAAAAGCCATCCACAGCTCTCTTCTAAAAATCCACATCACTCAGAAAACAAAGAGCACCCATCATGCAGGCAGTGACTGAAATCCACACCTACAGATGGAAGGGAACCACGTTTCAGTTTCACTGGAGGCTTATTACTAAGGTGGAGATAGTCTACCTCCCAAATTATCTGTATTTAGTGTTCTTCCACCCAAGAACCTAAAATGCTCTCTAAGTTACTGGTTCCTACTGACAAGCATTTTGAGGGAGCAGTGACTTAGCCCACATAAGCATTCCCTACTACACTAACAGTCGAGTTCGTAACAATTATGAACATAATCGCACTCCTGAGCAAAAGGAAACGGATTTGTGATATCACTCTACCTTTGACATTATTTCTGCACAAGACACTGCAGCTATTTAAATGACCCTGTCGCTTTATGTTCCCTAAACAAATCCTTGCTATGGGTGTAAAACCCGACTTAAAATTCACATTCCAGTGAACATGTGCAATCATTCAAACTAAGATCAATATTCCAGAAGTTACTGGACTAGAGGGGGGGCGAGGGAGTAGCAGAAGCAAATACAAGATACATTTTTAATGAACGCTGATTCCCTGAAGGCTGCTTCTAATTTTGTGCTAGAGGAACAGAATTCCTTAAAAATCTCTTGCAGAACTAATGTCACGGGGAACTTACTTATTCCTTCCCGGGACCAGTAAGGATGTGCATCTATCCTGCAGCATGTTAGTAAAAGGGGAGGAGGGGGTCCCTAGAAGCTTAAGGTTTCTGAGCATTTTCAAAATCAAAGTAAAACTTCCTTTACCAAGTCCGGTTACCCAGAATGCAGAGGTGGCTGGGAATTGTCTCTTGGGAAACTGGCGGTCAAAGTATGATTTAGGGGGAAAGTTCGGAGATGAGGTCAACAGAGCAATCAATCCACATCAAAGTTCACGAGGAAACAACCCGAAATCAGTGATTCTACTTGAAAGGCACCCAGCAAGTGCTGGGAAGCAGAGCTGGAAATTCATCTCAAATAGGTTATCTCATCTGGGGCGGACTCCCGCCGAAACCCGAAAAGAAAATCAATCTGTATTAATATTCCCCTAAGTACACTGCATGACTCTGAGCCTGTGACGCGCTCCCCGGGGATGCGGGGATGGAGGTGTGTGGGGGTAAGGGGGTGCGGTGGGCCGGCGAGAGTCCGCGCCTGGAAGCGGGGTCCGCAGGGCCCGCCAG